TCGTGTAGGTGATTACATTGGGCTTACAACCTCCCTTGATCAATTTGTGAAAGCATTCTTCTGCTTCAGCAACTTTACCCTCAAAGAAAAACCCACTTTATTAGAGTACTCATGGTCACAGTGTCTGGTTTATGACCAAATTTAATGAAATTTCCAAGAACACATAAACTCGAGTTCATTTGGTTCAAATGACACAAGCAATTCAGCACAACGTTTATAGTGTAATGATTAAGCTTGATTCCTTGCATACCCATTTGCTTATACAATGAAATAGCAAGAGAATAATGTTTGGTTTTGACGAGCTTACCCAACAATTGAGTGAAAGCCACAATCGAAGGCAGAGGGCGAGTTCGGAGCATCCTATGAAAGGAATCCAAAGCATCTTCAACATTCATCTCCATCTGGGTATTGTTGTGGGTTTTAATTAAATGGCCGTCTTCAAGAGAGGCTTTGGAATGATTGTGCGCCGTCATCAAATTCTCCATCAACAGAGCAAAAGAGGAAGCAGGAGTAAAAAAAAGGTTCCTCCAAGGCCATTTCAAAACCCCAAAGCAGTGTTGAAAACGAAGTTGGATTTTGCCCGCATCTTCAGCATCTTTGCGACAAAATTTGGGAACAATTTGAATAATTGGAAATGGGTTTTGATCAGACAGAAGATCTGGTTTAGATCTGACGAAGGATCTTGCTTCAGTAGTAGTGACTAGTGCGCAAGAACAGAAGCAAAACAGGAAAACGGCAAAGTTCAGGAAATAATAAAAAAAGAAAACGACAAGGCTCCTCTATTTTTTTCTTTTATTTATTTATTTCTAGTTGGCTGTTGAGTTTGACTGTAGTCAATTTTACAAGTTCAAATCTCTATCCCAGCGAATCTTTTTGGCCTTATATACTTGCTTTTGCTTGGATGGTGTTATATACTTGTTAGTATCATTTTGAGCGCCTGTTTAGTTGATTAATTTAAAATTTTAATTTGATTTTAAATATAATTTTATATGAGAATTTTTTATTATAGTAAAAAAATTATATGTGATTATTTTTTAGAATATTTTATTGTAATAAAACTTAAATTTTAAACTTAAATCGATAAAATAAAAGGGTCTAAATTTTGTGGATGCTTTTCATTTTAGTTGTTGATTTTTCAGGGGTTTTTTTTTTTTTTTTTTTTTTTTTTTTTAAATTACGATTTCTGTCTAAATTATGTTACTTGTGTCTATGTGGGCTCTAAACTTCATAACATACCTATTGTGCTTCCTAATTTTTACTCTAAATTCACTTTTGAACTTTGAAATATACCTAATTTTTAAACGTACTAGCAAGCCTAACACACATAGGGAGGCCAAATTTAACTTCTTCTCGCTCTTAACTAATTCAATTGAATTTGGGGTTTCTCCACTTTTTTCCTTCCTATTTTTTTTTTTTTTGCTTTTGGGCGACTACTTTAAGAAGAAAGTATATATAAGATTTAGCACCTAATTTAATTTATTTAGAGTGAAAGGTATTAATTAATAAATTTAATCTAATAATACATAAAAGAGTCAAGTGCTCTTTTTTATTGTGCTCTCTCAGTGCTCTTAAGACTGTAATGTGGCAGCCCTCTCCGTTCCTTTTTTTTTCAAATTTTTATCGTTCTTTTTTTTTAATTTTTTAAATGTTTTGTTTTGTTTTTTAATTTTTATTTTGTGAATTTTTTTTTCAGTTTAATTTTTTGTATGTGTTTTTTTTTTAAATTATTTTTTCTTCACTTTACCTATCTAAAAGTGATTTCTTTCACATGTTTTTCTTTTTTTGGGGGCAATGGTTAAAATAATTTCTTCAAATGTGCCATTATTTAATTATTTTCTGCCTAATTACTATCATATCAAAAGTTATCTTTGTACATTTTTTTTATAGTGTTCCAATAAAGCACGCCCCAGGCCACCACATGGTAGCTCCTCTCTATTTTTATTTTTTCTATCTTTACTTTTTTAAATTTTTAAATGTTTTTTTTCTTTTATGAATTTTTGTATAGTTTAAATTTTTATGTATGTTTTGATTTTTTTCTAATCTTCTTTTGTTTTTTTATGTTTTTTTTTTTAGATTTTACCAGGTGCTCTTTTATAGTTTAATCTTTTAACGGCTATCTATATATTTAATCTAACATCTAATGTACGTAAAAACAACCAAATGGACTTGACTGCTAAGGAAGCCACGTTTTTTTTTTCTTTTGTTTTTTAACTTTTCCTCTTTTATCTTTTTTATTTTTAATTTTTTTTTGACAGTATGTTTCTTTTGAAATACTTTCTTTTAATTAAAATAAATCATTTCAACTATGTCCCTACTTAATTTATTTTTGTGAAAAATTCTTATTTAACTTTATTTTTTTTTCGTTTTTAACCTTTTCTCTTTTTCTCTTTTTCTTTTTTTTTTAACTTTTTTCTTCTTTTCTTTGCTTATTGTTTGTTTTTCCTTACTATTATTTGACAATTTATTTACTTATTTATCTTTTACGGTATCCTTTAAAATACTTTCTTTTCCTCACTTTCTTTTAATTAAAGTAATTCCTTTTAAATATCTCATATAACATATCTTGTTCATACCAAAAATCCACCTAAAAGCCCAATTCATAGAATCCAAACACTGTTCATGCATTTTTCACTCAAAATTGCATCGTTTTGGTTGAAAATGCTACAATTTTTTACAGTAGTTTTTTTTTCTCACTCTTCATTTCAGACTTTTTTTTCTTCTTTTTTTTGGTTACTTACCCTAAAACTTAATTTTTTTAATTTTAATTTTTTAGGCTTTTATATGCTTTTACTAATAATACGGTAATTACACGTGTTCTTCCATTAGTATTTCATGATAATGTAATATAAGAGAGAAAATTTAGAAATGTGGCCTTAAATCAACTTTTTACTGTGAAAAATTGTTTAGGATTATTAGTGGTCACCACTGAGTTATAATAAGAAATAGGTCCTATTTTGTGAAACGTACCTAGTGCTGGAACTTCGGGTCGGCGGGCTGCCCGAAGCCCGAATTTTTTCGGGCTCGGGCGGGCCGGCTCACTTCCCGCCCGCCCAAGCAAGAAATTCAGGTTCGGGCTCGGGCAGCCCGAATTTGACATGTCCACCCTTTGCCGCCGCCGTCTAACCACCGTATACCACCGTCCGCCGGGATTTTTTTTGAATTTTTCCGACCAAGCCCGACCCGAAAATTGGGTGTGCCCGAATTGCCCGACCCGAAGCCCGAATTTTTGATTTTTTTTTGAATTTTGCCTGAATTTTTCCCGCCTGCCCGAATTGCCCGACCCGCCTGAGGTGCCCGAAAACGGCTAGTTTTTTGAATTTTGCCCGAAAACCCGAGTTGCCCGAAAATGGCTAGTTTTTTGAATTTTGCCCGAAAACCCGAGTTGCCCGAAAATGGCTAGTTTTATGAATTTTTACCCGAATTCTACCCGAAAACCCGAGTTGCCCGAAAATGGCTAGTTTTTTGAATTTTGCCCGACTGCCCGAAACCCGAATTTCAAAAAACTAGCCGTTTTATTCCCTTTTTTTTTGAAAAAAAAATCATTTTTTAACCCCAAAATTTCCCTATAAATACCCCCATCCCTCACACATTTTTCTCACTCAAACTCTCTCAATCCCTCTCAATCTCTCTCAATTTCTCTCAATCTCTCTCAATCTCTCTCACAATTTTTCTAAAGCTCTCTCTCTAGTGTCTATCAAATTCATCTTATTTTTTTATAATGGATCCTTTTGGTTATAGTGGTATTCCCGTTGATGCCCAACACAATGTAGAAGAAGGGCAATTTCCCACTAATGAGTTTGTTACGCAGCAAATGCAATCTACTAATCCAAGCCATGGTGGACGTACTGGAGGTCGTGGTCGCAATAGTGGGCATAGAGAAGCGGCAGCGAGTGCGACTGCGTCTGCGTCTGCGTCGACAAGTGTTGCAACCTCCAGGAGGAAATGCAAGCGTACCTCGACAGTTTGGGATCACTTCGACATAATTGACGAGGTGGATAATGAAGGTAACACTAAACATATAGCTCAGTGTAAATATTGTTTATCTAAATTACAAGGCGACACTATTGGTCTAAGTTGCCTTTGTTATATGGTTTAGGTACAATTTTTGATCCTAGATTAAAATTAGACGGATTAGAAAGTGGTTTAGAAAACTTAGGTGAATTTTTAGGCATCACCTGTACAGACCAATTTTCAATAATAAAGGTAAAAATATATGAGATCTATAGTAAATATGAGATTAGGTTTAGAAGCACAAACTCTAGAGTACAGGAACCGCAACAACATGATGAAAACCCGCATTCATTCTTGAATGTTTTCGGGTTAAAGAAGAAGAAGAAGAAGACAACTCAAATGGAAGTTGTGAGTGGAAGTGGATCTTCATCAAAAAGTGGCAATGGCGGCAGCAGCTTCAACGAGCTTATGGCGTACCTCAGTGAAGGCTTAGTAGTCGG